CCGCCACTGGTTTTCACCGACATCCAGAGGCCGGTGCAGGGTGTTTCGGTGTGGGACGTTCGGTGGGGAATTTTCGGCGCAGGGACGTTTCGGTGCACGGACGTTTCGGTGCACGGACGTTTCGGTGCACGGACTTTTCGGTGCACGTACTTTTCGGTGTGGGACTTTTCGGTGCATAAAAAATCAAAATCACGTTATTTTTTTTTTTTTTTCTGTAAACGTAATAAACACTGTTTTAGCTAAAAATTTATTCTTTCGCACTTTTTAGTTTTTTAGACTTGGTCATTCATTTACGGCCATTTACTGATATACCTCCTAAGTGACTTTGTTAGGCGCAGTACTATCTTGCGTGGAGATCGGAGACGTTGGACGTTATGGTTCGTTTGTCGGTGTCTCTTTTGCAGCGTACGCACTAGTCCCAACACATGTCTCAAGTAATTTTCAACAATCTCAAGCTTATTGCTGTGGGAGCCTTTCCTATACACGAACTCATCTCTGTGACGTCACGGCGCGGTGGTGGCGCGTCGGTCGCACTTCCGGTCTGAGGCTGTGGGCAGAAGTCCCCGTGCCAGACGTGCATTCCTGCGTTGTTTTGAAAGGAACCAGACAAAAACCTGCCTTCTCGTCAAAACGCCGCGACTGGGGCCGTACCAAAAGTGTCGAGAAAGGTTAGAAGGTCAGTTTTCACGTGCTCGGTTCGTCCGAGAATCTGGATATGTGCCGTGAAAAGGGAAAAGCAGACGCCGCCGGACAACGATTGCTTGGGCGGGAAGCATTTTGGGTTGAATTCACGGATACTTGTGGTCATCAGATTTATTTGTTTTGTTCCAACATGAACGCCAGAAAACTGCCAAGTTGTGCGGACCACCTGTGGACTACGTTCAGTTCGTCTTCAAGTTCAAACGGCCGCCTGCACGTTCGAACTGTCGTCTGCTCTTTCAAACGTTTCTGCTTGTCGTCTGCTCTGGCGCCGGTCCGTAGACCAAATGTTGGCCCGGTACTTGCGATAAGAAGTGAGTGCAGGCCTCAAAAGACTTAAAATTGAAGGTTAATAAGCAGGCTCGATGTAAACAGTAAATACAAGGAGATGTTGGTCATTGTTACCAGTGACCAACACCGACTTGTTATGCCTAATTCAGTTGGTCCGATTCTGCTTGCGATTTTCTGTATCGTCGTCGATCATCTCAGCTACGGCTCACGCTTTTGCAGCCCGAGCGGTGTCGCGATTGAAAATTCCGAGCGAAATCTCATCTTGCGAATCAGGCTTTAGCGTACATACTGCGGCGTCCACGCGGAATGAATCGCCACATGTCACATTATTTACGCGAAGTTTTCCGGTGTAACGAGCCTCGGTAATTTCGCTGACGCCGCTCAAGTAGTCAGACATCGCCAGGAAGACGTAGAATGCACAATTCGAACGCGACAAAGGGCAGGGGGGACTCACACCGACGCCGACAACATCGCATTTGAATGGTTTGTTTATGGGCGACGGCGAGCTTGTTGCCCACACCCCCATCGCGCATGCGCGGCGCCGGTGGCGTCCGCTAGGGGCGCTCCGGGCGCTCCGGTTTGTTTGTAAACATGAGTTGGTGTATACGCACGTTACCAATAATAAAAGCCACACCTTTACAGAAGGCGCTGAGAACGCATGTATCGACCAAACGCTTAAACACTATGTGATGCGTCTAGTTACGTTGGAAAAGAAACACCGGTAAAATAAACATAACGTCCAACGTATCCAGTTCTCCCGCAGGATGATGCTGCGCCTAACAAAGTCACTTAGGTCGTATATGAGTAAGTGAGTGTAAATGGATGACCAAGCCTACAAATTTATAAAATGCGAGAAAAAAAATCACTTCTGCCTAAAATAGTGCTTATTACCTTCAGAAAAAAAAAAAAAAAAAAACGATCTCGAGATTTTGAATGACCATGCACCGAAATGTCCGTGTACCGAAATGTCCGCGCACCGAAATGTCCGTGCACCGAAATGTCCGTGCACCGAAAAGACCGCACCGAAACGCCCTACACCGAAACGTCCGGATCCCGCTGGAGAAAGAGTGGCTCTCGAAGTTGAGATCTGATTCCCGCGATGGTTTGCTCTAAACATTTCATCGCCGAAGACTTCAAACCAAGGATGCATGACAATGATGAGATGTCCAGCTCGCTTGCACCTTTGCATTTAATTGCATTATAATCGATGCATGACAACTAAGGTAAATGGACAAATCAAACTGTTTACGTAAGTGTCACGAGTGGCCCTAAGTATAGTACGCGTAAAGCGTGCGCGTTGATACTCGCTCGTTGCATGCGCAGTGGGATCGTTCTTAGTGTGGGTTTTCCCGCTGCGGTGTTTTTGGAGGATGCAAATGCTACAGGTTTATTGCTGCGTGAGAATCCGACTTTTGAAACATTGTAGAATTGTCACTCCTATACGGGCCCCCTACACAATACCACACTAAAGGAGGTATCGACTGCAGCGGAAGTGACTCGCTCAGTGCCTGCGTGTGCGTCGGACGCACCTGCTCAATTTTCTTGCAAATTCGGTCGAAAGTACGCGGTAAGTAGGGCTGAATGCAACTGATCAATCAACCGAAGGAGCAACAGGGACCATCGAGCCTAATCCCTTACTTGTTTATACTCCATAAATATTTCGTGCCCCTTCTCTTGAAAAACAAATTTTCAACGGCAAATCACGCTACATGAAAACGGCATGATCACACCTAAGGTTAACAGCTCACTAAGGACATGGGTGCCACGTACGAAGCTCGAGTCATTCTTTTTTCCCAAGTGACTGCACCGCCTACTGCAAATCCTTCCCGAGCCCCAATATTTTCGAGAATTACAATCTTAGAGAAAAATAAAGGCACGCAAATACCTCTTTTGTTTTGAGGCCAGAATTCAAGTCTTTAGAATTCGCGAGAGTTAGCGGCCGCGAACAGGTTCCTACGAATAATTTGCGAATAATTGGGATCGAAAAAAATTAAGGGTTTTACGCATGCAGCGTTTAAAACGATCGGGAGGACGAATTGTGCGATTCTCTTGGAGTTACAAACAATGGTTATTCGGCAGGGCGAGTGCACGAAAGTTCATCAATCGTGGCACCGTTCGTGAGTCTCACAGTGTGGGGATCCTTACTGAGAGCCGACGACTGCAGTACGTAACTCCGCACCTGTACTCTCGTCGACGTGGTCGTTGGGGCCACAACACGGCACTCAATAATGTGCCCGGCATTCACAAGTTGTTCGCCTTCGACAAGGCACCGCTTTCCGTCGGCAATGTGCTCCATAATAGGTATGCAATGGCACTGAAACTGACATCACAACAACAACCACTGTAGCAATATTATATAAGCATCCGGCATGGTATTCCTTGCCTTCGCGTGTTTCCACTCTCGTGAAACGATACAACATTTTCGAAGAAACAAGCATTGACAACGTAAATAGCGCAGCTTACCCAAAAATAAGCTTTCATAGACGCGAGGATCCATGTTTCAACGTGCGCCGAGAGCAGACGACGTGCGGCGGTATCCACACTAGTAGTGTTTCCAACATCGGCCGCACGGTGGTGACTCTGTTCAATTCAGCGTCGATTTTTTTTTTTTTTTTTTTGCTGTTTAATTTTGTTTTGACAGTATAGCTATCCTTTTGTTTTGCCTAGCCCCGGCACACGTTAGTAATGCAGTGGCACCTCAAAAAGCGGAAGGAGTTGTGTACTGTAAGGCGCAGCTTTTAAAGTTGTTGGGCCGCAACTACGACGACAGTAGAGCAGTGAGCCACCACCCTTGATTGAAGCCTGCTCCGTTTCGAGAAATGACGATGCAGCACTTTATCCGTTTTCTCCCTAATCTGTGCGTGTGTTGCGTGAAAAAGATCGTTTTACAGAAAGTTCATACGCTTACGCCCCTTTCGGTCGTATACGCAAGGCCCGACTTGCTTTTTTTCTCTGCCTCCTCTTTCTTAATGGAGAAAAATAAAGAATTTGAATATCTTGACACGCATGAACGTATTCTTGTTTACTCTTGGGCATAAGATAGTTTGTTTCCCTTCCGCCCATTGAAAAGCACTGCGAAAGAGCGTGGCTCATCTCCCGTCAGCGTCGTGCTGTGCGTGTCCTCCGGGTAGGGAGCTGACAGCCAGCCTCGTCGGACTTCTCATGACGTTTTATTTCTCCTTCGCACAGGTCGGTTGCGAGTGCTGCGTGTGTGCGTTCTTATGTGATAAACCCGAAAAACCTCCAGGAGCCTAAACTCGTCATAAAGTTGGAGCCGAAGGTTCGCGAAGCACGCCGATAGGTCGCCGGCGACAAAAGCGCCAAGTCATCGTCGTGATAGTCTTGTCGGTACGCTCCGTGAACTTGGCCTCCAACTGTGCTTGACGAGTTAACAGCCCCTGGGACCGAGCAAACATCGGCGGGTCGCCTCGTGCGTACGACAAGCGAGGCGATTACTCGACGACACCGAGTTCTTTACTTACAATTTGCACGCAGCGAACACTTCGTAGGATCATGTTGAGATTCGCGCCAGCCAAGCCCGCCCGTCTCTGTTTTCAAAGCGCAGTTGGAAGATTCAAGATAAAACAAAGACACGAATCTCAAACAAAGACACGAATCCCCCGAGGCGCATGTGTGACGCTGTGATGCTGAGCTTTTTCGGCTTTCCATGTTTCATGCTTATCGTAATGCGACAGTACCAGTTGCCCCTCGTTCAGGAAGCCACACAAATCGTCTGACAAGATTCATTTTTATCCTATCAAGTACCTCTGTATGCCTATTATTATGTTCCGGGAGCACGAACGACTGATCCGGCGCCGAATCTAGGTACTTTGTATGGGGATCCGTAGATTTTCGTTCTCCTCTTGCCCTTCTGGTGTTCTCGTCCGTGTACGACAATGCGTGTTCCAAAGCAAGACCCTTTTCATGGCAGCGTGCAAAGCGCACATGAAGGCTCCCTAGTCGTGCTTATTGTGAGACGCAGCGTGCATGTGACGATAGGCCTTTTCTAGGCGCGGGGACCCGTGATTCTTGAGGAAGGATGGAGTCCCTGCTGAACCCGGCGGTGCTGGAGGGGCTGTCCCTCGCCTGGCTGTCCGAGGACCAGCCCAGCCTGGACGTGGGCTTGCTGGTGGTGGGCGAGACGGACTGCCTGGCCCACCTGTGGTGCAAGAGCCCCGGCGTGCTGGCCGGGGTGCCCTTCGCCAACGCCATCCTCGCCCGGCTCGACTGCGACGTCAAGTGGCTCCGCAACGAGGGCGAGTGGCTCCACCCGGTCGCCAAGGTGGCCGAGGTACGCCTTATTCATTCCAACATTCGGGCGAGAGGGCCGAACAGGGAAACTTTTAAATCGGGTTATTTGAGTGTGTGGGGGCCAGGAAAAAGCTGTGCGAATAGGAACTGAGGGAGAGAAGGAAAGCACCGAGCTCTGGTTGGAATGATGCATCTACACGCAAAGCAAGCTGCCTTCGTCGCTGTTCGAACGCGGACGCCGGCACTTGACGTTCGAACAGCGATTAGAGACAGAGGGAGCTGGCTTTGGATCTTGTTTTCTCTCGCAAAGTTATTCTTTCCGAAGAAAAGGTTAAAGTCTTTTGAACTAAAGATTTGAGCGTACACCACTCTTCTGCGTCCAGTACTATAGACTACGCAAATCATAGGCGTAGACTTCGGGGGGGGGGGGGGGGGGGGGGGGGCGGGGGGGCATCGGGGCTCGTGCCCCCCCCCCCCCTGGTGAAATCCAAGGGGGGGGGGGCCCTTGGATTTCACCAGGGGGGGTCGGTAAAGATCATGGCCCAAGCCCCCCCCCCCCCCGGGCTTGGGCCATGATACTTACCGAGACGCTGCTTACGTGCTATGTAATGAGCTTCTAGTAGTGGCATGTAAACAAAATAACGCCCACGTTGCCTTTATTGACAAAATACATGGGAAATGGAATCCAAGCGTGCTTTCGTTAGCTTCACTCTCCAGTTCTGGCGAAAAGGTAACGCGCAGCCCCCCTCCCCCTTTCCGGGAAAATGGAAAGTCTACCCCGATGACGCAAATCTATCCAGGTTCCCTCAACGGAAGAGTGTAAGAGAAATCTTCCAAACAAAGGAAATTTGTTTACCATAGCTGTTTTCAGTCACCAACGGAACTATACAAAAAAAATGGTTTATTGATTATTGCTGATGGCGATTTCATAGAGAAGAAACCTCGAGGTCTCTGCATTTTGTAAACTCGCCGTTTTGCCAGTGACATCTCGAGCTCTGATATGTTTATACGACTTCTTCGGGCCCTTACCCGATGGGATAACAAGATTTTGGCACCGACCCGCCAACGTGCTGGCATTTTTTTATGGAACGAGAGAGTACGCTGACTGTCGTTGCGTCGCTCGATTCGCTGGGGAATTAATCGAGCTCAACGTGTCTCCAAAAGGTTGATCGATATTCTCCTGCGGGGGGGACATCAACAACTCGTCTGCTTGTGCAGCAGCAATCTCGGAAGTGTCTTTAGGTTCTCCGATCGAAAAGGTTAACTTCGTTTCGTATATCACACGAGGCCTTTCTCCTCGGAAAGACTAGTTGAAGAACGCAGCGGCCACCTTGCGTCGTCGGCAGCGCGTCTCGCAACCGGTGCGACGTGGCGCCAAGACGGAGAGAGAGAGAGAGAATAAACTTTATTGAGGCAACTGGTCAAGTTATGGAGTAGCTGGTCGGGGTCCTAAGTACGCTCTCGTTGAGCGGCGCTTGGGTACACTGAGGATGACGTGTGCAGGTGAGCGGGCAGGCCCGGCGCGTGCTCCTGGCTGAGCGCGTGCTGCTCAACTGCCTGGCGCGTGCCAGCGGAGTGGCGTCGGCGGCCCGGCGGATGCGCGAGGTGCTGAACGGCGTCCACTGGGACGGTATCCTGGCCGGCAGCCGCAAGACGACGCCGGGCTTCCGCCTGGTCGAGAAGTACGCGCTCATGGTGGGAGGCGCCGACACGCACCGCTACGACGCCGCCTCCATGGTCATGCTCAAGGACAACCACCTGGCCTCGGTCGGCTCCGTCGAGAAGGTCTGGCACGTCCGCACGATGTCCGCGTTGAGACGGAACCGCGCGTGCTGCAGGGCAAAAGGGCTGTCCAAACAGGGCACAGCAGATAGTGTGTTTCCTCGCAGCAGATCGAGTGTTTTCTAAATAACTGCGGTTTGTTTTGCCGAAAAAAAACAACATTATTTTTCTCCTTTTTGTCTTTGGTTAGAGGCGTGCTCATCACCTGGGTGTGCACAGCCTTTACGCTCTGCTGGCTTTCGTCAAGGCCTCCGCTCTTGTTGTCGGTCCCCAATCTCCCGAAAACAAGAAAAGGGAAGACACGACAGCGAGGAGGAAAGTCATGGAAACCTAGGGGGGAAACTAAGGGCTCTGTTGCGGATCTTTTTTTCAATTTCGATTGCAGATTCTGTTCTGGCGTGACAGACACGCATTTGCTACAGTTCACATCTTCCTATGAGGAACGCGGTTGGGGCACTGAACCGCGATCGCCGAGAATGCAGGTACATAAATCCGCGTCTCTGTCCGAACGGTTTGAGTGAAGCGCTCGGACCGACTTACAAGGTAAATCACACCGTGGTCGATCTCTTAGGTCGACCAACGCAAATATGCGGCGTCGACCTAAGAAAAAAAAATTGCCGCGACTTTTATTAGCGCGGCAGTTTTAAAGTCACTGATACGTAAACTCCTCTGGTGCTAAAAAATATCCTAGCGAGGGCGCAACATAAATGGAAATAGGAGCACGGACACGCTACGGCACGAAGTCCAATCCCGTTTGGATCGCGTTCCGTTACCGCTGACTCTAGTGGGGGTCGCTGCAGCACCGCAGCTCGGAACACGTACAGCAAAAACTCGCGCTGCGGAAACTGAGGTCTTTGAGTGTGGGCGACGGCAAGCTTCTTGCCCACACTACCATCGCGCATGCGCGGCGCCGGTGACGTCCGCTAGGGGCGCTCCGGCTTGTTTGTAAGCATGAGTTGGTGTATACAAGCTAGAGCATGTGACCCTGAACAGCGCTTGCACTGCACGAGCGCGCGTGCTTGGCAGGGACGCTGAAAGCCCGGAGCTCGCTCTTGTAGCTTCTGCTGCGCTCACACTTAACGTGAAACGGAGTACAGAAAACTTGCAGCGAGCTTAGATCAAGAAAACTCGAAGGAGCTAAAAAATGAATGCTATACGTAGGCCCTTTTCTTTCTAAACGCCGGCCAGGGGCTCGTCTGGACACTGGGCAAAAAAGTCGGCGAGGAATTCGACCGTCGTGATTGGTGGGCGCCAAGGCCAAGCGCGGCGTGTCCAGATTAGATCCCCAGGTCTTTGACGTCCATGCGAACTCTCAGTCCATACAAAAAATGAACAAACCCTACCCCAAAAACGCTTTAAAAGAACTATAAGAAAGAGATTTGTTATTATTTTTTTAATATTATCGTAAACCAACTTCTCTCCTCCAAGACGTTAAATGGTACAGCCGAAGGCACTCGCTAAGTCTCCAACTTTGTTGTCCGTGTACAATTCGATTTCTAGCGCTGGTGACATAGCAGCTCGACAGTCTTGCAAAGACAGAGCGACCGGAAGTCTCTTGGGACGCAAGCGGCGGTTGTTGTTTGTAAACAATGGACCTTTTCCGAGAAGCGTTCTGCGCACGCGCGAGCGCCCGATGCCAAGCGGCAGAAGTCGGAACGAAAAATCGAGGAAATTCGGAAGGAGCCTGTGGATAAGCGAGTAGAACAGGTAATTGCAGCATATATATAATTAAGTTACACAAAAAAAGAAAATGGACGGAAGGAAAAACACAACGATTGGGTGGACGCCACGGATACCCATCTTTAAGCTCGCGTTGGGCAGGTGCCGCAGCTCGGAGAGCGAAGAAATTGGTAGCGTAGCTCCCGGTAGCGATTGGTAGCGCAGGTAGGTCACTTCTTCGATTTTTAGTTCCTGCAGCCACCGCCTTGTGCCGTCGGTATGTGGAAAAGGTCCATTAAAGGGTCTATGGAACAATTTTGTGTTTTAGTTGGTTAAGCTACGCCCAGCAAATTATTTTGGTCGAACTATATCTAGCGGCGCAGTGGAACTGTGCTTCGGCGCTGTAGGTTTGGCTCCATTGCCATATAAAGTTAACGAACGCGCGCACAGCAACTTTCACGGCATATTCCGATGCTGTGTCGCAGCACGCCATCTGCTGTGTCTTGTTTGGACAGCCCTTTAGCCCAGGTGGCACGGATGTCACGTCCGCAGGTCGTCCGTAGCGTTGGAGCATCCCGAGGGCATTTATAGAACCATGCGTGCTGCAGGGCGGCCGGTGCCGAGCGAAGTTGCTATAAAGGATCTACCATAGTACCCCATTCACTCGGCAGCGTAAAGTTACCTTTAGCTGAGGTATCTTTAGTAAAGGGAGCTGGAGGTCGTTGTCACACGATGCATAAAGGTCTTTTTAGGGAGGGCCTATGTTAGAAGGAGCTCGCCAACCTACCTTTATAGCTACAGGGAGTAGCCTCAGAACCATAAATTCAAAATAAAAAGACAGATATATACATGTATGATTTTTAATGGGTGTCCCAGATAACTTGCACCAAACCTTACACACAACCAGAGCGCTCTGCGAGAGCAAAACCAGTATGTTGTTAAGAAGCATCTTGGGAAGGTGCACATTTTTAGTGTGCCTAGTTATTTAGTTAATTAAGACCAATTAGCTTACTTTATAATTATTCTTTTAAGAGCCAAGGTGTTAATTGAAAAGTTAATAACGTAAAGAGAAAGCCCGCGAAATATAAGAAAAAGGACAAGGTAACAAGGCGCCCGGGTGTCGCCCTAGTAGCGCTGTGCTCTGAAGGAACGAAGTCCGCTTTATCACAGGTGCGCTGTCTGAGGCGGCAGCAGGGGCTCGCACTTATCTTCGGGGACTACCCAAACATGAAGCCCGGTCTCGGACATTTCATTACTTCAGCGCACGTCTGAGAGCGCAGCAAGCGCGGGAGCGTTGTCACGTGGTCTTTTCGGTGTTTCGCGGGCTTTCTTTTTAGGCGAATAAAAAAGACACGCTAAAATCTTATCATGTAGGGAACATTTAATTTCGGTGTTTCTCAATGCGCTCTACAACTTTCCAATTCACACCTCGGCTCTCTTAAAGGGGCACTGACACATCAAAATCATTTTTTTTTTTTATTATCCGAAACGATTGAAAACGATGCCGGGACATTACCCTCAAAATTTGAGATTTGGGAATTCAGTATTCGTGAAGTAAAAAAACAATTTCCAAATGCCGAATTCGAAGTTCCCGCGCGATAGGCGCCGGTGCCTTGATGTCAAAAATTGAGGAGACCTGAGAGTCGACTTCCTTTCACCACTCCCTGCTGTTGCCATGGCGACCCAAAGCGAGGAGGAAGGGAGCGAGCGGCGGCGTTTCGGCGGACCGGTTTTGAGCGGTGTCGCCTGTTTTCCGTTGGAGGATACAAATCCAGGAGACGGCACCACAACGAACTCCCGATTTTTGGTATTTCAAAAAGAAGGGCCGTAGTGCGTTCGCAATTGCGTTAAAAAACATGTTTTAGGATTGCCGTAATTAAATGTTATAGAGATGTCGCCTACAAAGCTTCTAAATTTCCTGATTTTTGACGTCACCGATGGAAAGAAGCGAGGAGGCGAGAGGCGGGAAAATCAAACGCCAAAAATAAAAAGGCGCGCGCGCGCGCGGGAAAATTTTTTTTCGCGATGCGGTTTTTTTTGCGTGTCTATGACTGCAACTTGCATCGTTTTAGACAATAAAAATAAATACGACCTTTGGGGTGTCAGTGCCCCTTTAAAGGGAAGCTACGGAGCTTCTTGGAAAAAATGAGTTAGAAGTGAATTCTAGCGTATTTTTACCCCGTGAACCCGAATACCCAAACCATTTGCTGCATAAGTATTGTTAAACGTGAGAAAAACGCGAAAGACAGTCGCTGTCCGTGACGTCATCGACGGCTCTTTTGGCTGCCCAAGGCTAGGGGGGCGGGGCTTTAGCCCTATTTTGAAATTGCTCTTGTGGCTCTCCGGCGCGTCGCATTGAAATATAATTTTGATATCTGTTATTCTAAAGGCCAAATGAACGCAATTCAAGCATTTTTTCTCAAATGTAGAAGTGCCCCATCTTCCCTTTAAGCGCGATCCAAACCAACGCTTCTTTTTGCGCCTGTAGGTCGTGCGGCTGCGGATGTGACGCATTTTCGTGACGTCGCGCCGCTTCTTCGCTCCTTCCGGGCGCGCACGAAGAAGTTGGATGATTTCAACTTCTCTCTGGACGCGCACAAAAACGCGCGGTGACGTAGTAGGACGCTCCTGTGTCCCGGCCAATCGGTGGAGGGCAAGCTAGTTCCGGCTCCGCGTTTCTCGCCGTCTGGCTGCCCTCTCCTCCCCCCCTTTTATTCTCGTCCAACATGACAACGCGATCTCTCTCTCCCTCTTTCTCTCGCCGTCTGGCCGGCCAGTCTGTCGCAGTTGCACCTTGCTTGTGCGCTCGTGCCTGCGTGTGCGCGTGCGCGCTCGCCCGAAGTTTCGCCCGTCCAAACCAAAGCGCACGGTTCTGACTCAGAAAGCGCGCCCGGAAACAGCAAAAACGCCACGAAATGCGTCACATCCGCAGCCGCACGACCTACAGGCGCAAAAAGAAGCGTTGGTTTGGATCGCGCTTTACGCGCCCGTTTCCGGCTTGAGCGGCGTTGCCGTTGGCGTAACTGTTAACCGTATTCTCGACGAATTTACGCGCGTATCAGCGGGCGTAATCACGGGATTTGGCGGGCGCTTTTTTTTACAGAAGGGAAGAGGGGAAGGGTCGGGCCAAACTCCGCACGACGCTTTTCGTCGACGTCTCCTCGGCGTTTGGTGCAGGCCCGACTCGCGTCTTTCATGAAAGGAGGCAAAATGTAGATCGGCTGCTATATTATTACGTTCCGCAAGGGGACAGAAATAACTGAGTGTTAATAAGCAACCAAAGCCTAATTTGCTAACACCTGTTTCAAAAATATTCGTTGCAACCGTCAAGTTGCCAAAAACTCCCGGCAGGAGGACGGCCGCGACCTCTGCTCAAAACCCTTCCTTTTGTAATTCTTTTCATGCACCACCCGCAACATCGATGGTATTTTCTTCTGTCTCAGTCGTTCATCGCTCGTTTCAAAGAAATGTAGCGATTTCGTACAGTTCGCCGATAAACCGGCGAACGCGACAAGCGAGCTCCCATTTCGGCGGCCAAGTCAAGCCAGCCAGCCAGCAGGCCGGACAGCTAGGCAAGCCGATTCTCGAGCAACTTCCGGCTCTCAATTCGGGAGCTGGTTGGCCGGCACCGCGCCGTACGCTTCCCGATACGCCACGCCGAAATACGCTGATGCGCCGAGATCTGTCTCGGTCGGATCGCCGAATACGCGCGTATTTACGCCGATTTCGGAAGCGTTCGTCCCGACGCCCGCTGTACGTCGGGATTACGCCCGCCAAAACGCCCGCAAATACGTCGCAAATACGCCCCATGTGGTTCGGGCTTGACGCGTCGACGTAACCGCGGCGTGCATTATGGGAAACGTCCCATAATGCACTGCGGTGACGCGCGCGTTGCATTATGGGACGTTTCCCATAATGCACCGCGCGGGAGGGAGGAGGATGATGAGTAGGAGGAGGGAGTAGAAAGAGGAGGGAGGAGGAGGCAAGGAGCACGGGAGGAGTAGATGAGGAGGAAGGAGGAGATGATAAGAATGAGGAGGAGGGGCATACCGTACCCTCCCCTCCTCCTCCTCAGGAGCTACGTTCTAATTCGGCATTAGAGGAAGTTGTAAACGTCTTCCTTTCTTTTTTTCTTTTTTTGTTGTAATGTTTGGTGGAAGTTATTTGGGACACCCTGTATATTTCTAAGTAGTAATTATTGGATTAGTTCTAAACATGAACGTGATCGAATACTCTATACTCCGTTCACCTTTTAGCTGAGACTAAAAGCTCTGCCTTCAGCGCGAGCTCGCTGGCTTCCGCAGTGCTTTGGTTGCGCGCGCCTGATACGCTCACACTCGTGTTAGCAAGGGCAGAAAGCTGGCGCTGAAGGCGGCCCTTCAAGTCTGAACATTTTGGTGGCGCCCTCCTATAATTACCTCTCGTGACGTCATTACCTCGCGAACAACAAGTTCGATGGTGTTTCTAATTCTCATGGTGGAAGCTTCAAACCATTGCTATCTCAAAGCAACGCTGCAAACGCCACCGAAATTAAGGTTCTTACATCAGTCTTATTTCTGTCGATGAGAAATCCTTTGCTGACGTCATCGTCAGCATTCGGCCAATCGTGGCAGGCCAACCACAGCGACGCCATCGATCGCTCGTGTCGCCAATAGCGAAAAACGAATACTCACGCTAGCATGTTCAGTGATCACGCGTTCCGTTGAAAGTGTCCTAAAATACAACACGACGGCGTACGCAAAGGAGACCATTGAGCTCAAAAGTCTATTATCTTATGCGCTTCTCGAAGTGCGTGTTTGGCGATGTTGGACGTTTATCTTCAGAGGTCATGAAGAGAAGCACCTCGTTTTAGAGTTAGCTCGTACCATGCCTGCCGCCAGTGGTTTCTTGTAACAAAGCAAAACAATAGCAACTACAACAAACTAGGTGATGACTTTAAAAGCAATTTTACCAGTTTTTTGCGTTTATTAAAATACTTTGCCTGGAATATCAGCCCCGTCATGATGCTCGCGATGCCCCGCCGATCTCAGGAGGTCAAATGTATGGAAAGATGGCGAAACCTTTTCAAGACAGCACACGCGGATGCGTCGGCGAATCGTTTGTGTACGACGAACCTTGCACGTGGAAACAAAACCTTAGCTTCTTCGTTGGACCGCCTTGAGGTGTGCGTTGGACGGCTCGTTCAAGCCAGTCCTCTGCATGATCTGCCATGTATACGCTTTTCTTCGTCGTTCAAGCTAGATTACGTGCGGCTAATCGCTACAAATAGAGCCACTAAATGAGCTAAATAAGCGTAGCTTATGAGTGGCACTAGTTATAATCGGGCTGATACAAAGGGTGTGACCGGCACCATCATCCGTGTGATACTGAACGTCCTTTCCTAAAAGTACCTTTAGATAAGGTACCTTAGCCAAAGATACCTTTATGCTGCCGTGTGATGCCATGCTATGTGATGCCTTGCCATGCTATGCATGTCATGCTATGCTATGCACGGGAGGTGGCTGTCGGCAACATGGGGCATGCGTTGAGCGTGTTTTTGCGCCACCGGAGATGACATTTTTGAGCGGCTTCCGGCCGCTTTAAAACGAATTTAAAGCTCTTCTTCGTGGGGCCTGAATCCGGTCCTTTCAGCGTCAATCGAATGATTTTAGCTGTCACCACCCTAACGATTTTAGCTGCAAAGTCGCGTGATTGGTGAGCAAAAGATTCGTTCCTCTTTGAATATCTTCACGAGGCAAATAGGTATCCTTGGCAATAAAAGGTCCCTTTCGTCCTGGCAGGCCGTCCAGATCGCCCGCAAGATGGGAGGCTTCACCAGGAAGGTGGAGGTTGAGTGCCGGAGCGTGGAAGAGGCGCAGCTGGCGGCCCGGTCCGGATGCGACATCATCATGCTCGACAACTTCCAGCCCAAGGTGGGTTCAGGCCGCGGCCCCGACGCCCGCCAAGATCCCAGCGTAAAAGGGACAGCGGGAAGACAGCCCCAACTCGAAGAAAAACTACGTCGTGCAACTTTGGCAGCACGAGCTTGTTCGCAAATCCTGCTTGTAATCGTGAATACATCCGGAGTCTACCGACAGAAGGCGGTACAAATGATACCACCAGCTAGCGTAAGAACGCGACGCTAAAGCCCTTTTCGTGCGCGAAGCATTTGCACATGCAGCGTGACGGCCTTGGCGCAACGTCGGAAAGTTGTCTTGCACCCCGGCTCTCTATCACTCTCAAGAAAAAAGGGTGTCAAAAGGTGTATTCTTACACCCTTTGTCCCATATAATACACCCCAGAATTTCAATTCGACGTACAGTGCCCTACAGTCGAACATTGGGCCCGAAACTTTACGAGGAACTTGATAGCCGTGTGGTACAACATTTTAAATAGATAAAGTCCTTATCAAAGACCACATAAAGAAAACACCGAGTTTTTACAGTAGGGCCAAGAAAACCCGAATTATTTTTTTCGTGTTCAGTAAAACGTACATTGGCTATTTTAATAAGTTGTACCACACGGCTATCAAACCCCTCGTAAAATTTCGGGCCGTCTGTTTGACTGTAGGGCGCTCTATGTCGAATTGAAGTTTGGGGGTGTATTATATGGGACAAAGGGTGTAAGAATACACCTTTTGACACCATTTTTTCTTGAGAGTGGAGTGCTCCGACCGACCCTGTTCCTCCGCGCAGGACCTGCCCACGGCGGTGCACAAGCTGAAGACGGAGTTTCCGGGGGTCTTGCTGGAGGTCTCCGGCGGCATCACCCCGGAGAACGTGACCGAGTTCGCGCTGGCGGGCGTGGACGTCATCTCGTCCAGCTCGCTGGTGCAGGGCTACGCCACCGTCGACTTCTCGCTCAAGGTGCAGGCGCCCAAGAAGCCTGACGACTGCTGAAGGAAAGATATATCCGCTCGCATATGCGCCGCACACTGCGCTCCATTCCGATCGAGGCTCTTCACTAAGCGTCCAAGTCATAAACGCAAAAAAGTGCTTTACAAATAAAAGTGTAAATGTATTTTTTTTTATTGTTTTATGTGTTGCGGTTGCGTGGAAGTCGGAACAACGAGTTCGTTGATGTAGATACGTGGTCAGGGGCATACGTGTTTCTGGGCGCGCCAAGGAGTCGCACTGTAAGAACGCGAAGCATAAAAGTCGACTGTATCACCCATATATCAAAGCCATCATTTGAAGTTACACCATAGCCTCCTATATCCCGTAACCCCATTGACGGGCGACGGGATAAGTAAATACGGAAACGTATAAGGGCCTCGACGTCTGACCAGGATGCACGGGGCACTACGGCCTCTGTCACGTCGCGCGGAGCCGATGGGGCTCGAAGCCGAGCATGCTCGCCTCCGCGCTAAACACCGAAACCCAGACGAGGACGGCGGCGGCGTAATCGAGCGGCCTGGCGTCCTCCCGGAGGAAGACTAGCGACGCCACGACGGCCAGCACCAGGTCCCCGCTGTACAGGCACACGTTCACGACGCCGTAGTTGACGCACTCGCGTGCCTTGCTGACGAGGTACACGAAGGCGAAGCTGACCTGGGCCACGAACACGAGGGCGCCCATGTCCGAGTCCCCAAAGATGCTGCCGATCTCGCCGTTCCATACCACCAGGGTGCACGACGTCAGCAGGGCTACGAAAGACCAGTGGAAGATGAGCATGGCACTCGGTGTGTTCGCGCTCAGGGAGCTCAGCTCGCGCACCACGGCCCTCAGGGAGGCGGAGGCGAGCGCCAGGGCGCAGCCCACGTTGAAGTTGCGGTCTTCCGCGTGGTCATCGTCCCGCGCCAGGTTGGTGTAGACGACGAGGCAGACAGCGATGCCCATCACTCCGACGGCAAAGACGCGGCCGAAGCTTATTACCTCGGGGCCCTGGACGAGGTACTCGGGAACGAGAGTAAGAACGGGGCCAACGTTGCAAAGCGCGTAGCCGTTCACGAGGCTCAGGTACCGCAGGGAGAAGAACCTGGCGAAGACTGACGACGTGACCAGGACACTGCGGAAGAGGAGCTTGCGCTGCGCGCTCAGGGGACCGTAGGGCGCCAACACTCCGGACTGGCAGGTGGTGATCCCGACGAACACGCCAAGCGAAAAGTGCAGCATGAGCTTGGACATGGAGAGAGACGGGCTCAGCTTGACCACGACGGCCAGCAGAGCCCAGAAGACGCTAGCACTCGACGCCAGCACGGACCCTTCCCAGGAGAAAGTATCTGTCGCTTCCGTGGCACACGCGCTCTGGTCAGGATCCGCCGTGGGCCTGACGAGTACCCAGTGACGGCGGAGTGACTGCTGTCGCGCTTCGGGGGATGAGTTGAACGGTTCCGAAGACATGATTCAAAATACGACCACGTCAAATTCGAGCACCACACTGACCGCCTAGAGACCGTACTGGTTTGCATTCTTGCCGAGAGGTGGCGGTGCATCTGCTGTTCTGCTCTTTTTGAATTTTGAGATTTTGAGATGGCGAGAAAGAAGACGTATCGTTCTTTTCGGGGTCTCTTTTAAATGTCGTGTCGCGCTTGACGACGTAGATATTTTGCGCGAACATAGTGCGCAACGTTCAGAGGAATCTCCCCGGAACATTTGGTGGTAAGTGCGCCTCCAATACTAAACAGGCCTGCACTGGACAGTGTGAAAAACTCTAAGCCTAACAAGAACTGTTGGAAGCCTGACAATATTCGCACCTAACATCGTAAATGTCTAGCCAAGCGATGTCTATCAAGACTCGGAGTCAAGCGGCGAAAGAGGACGATCCACTTATCCAATGTGCCAAGTGTGGGCGGTGGGCGTATATCCTAACGGAAAGCGAGTTCAAGACCGCCAAGGAGGCTGAGGGCGGCACATTCATCTGCAGACTGTGTCAAACCATCGAAGAGATGGCCAAGTCCCACCAAGAAGAAATTGAGAAACTGGAACAGAGCTTCAACGAGAGGTTCAAACACCTGGAAGAGGCCGTCAAAACAAGCTCACCAGCCCCCAAAGACGAGGGTCACACTCTCAAAGAGTGTATAGCGGAGCTGCTGCATCGACTCCAGGTACTCGAAAAATCAACAGAATGTCCTGTGGGTCAAAATCTTGAACAATATAGAGCCACCCTAAAACTGAAAGACATTCGTCCAGTTGAGGGTGTCATACACCATGAAGACGCTGCTGCCAAAGCTTCAGAACATCAACTTCAACAATGTCAGTTGATCGGTTCGCAAAATGGTGCAATGCCCCTCCACATTCAGTGTACCGGGGACCTCATTCCTACACAGAAGCAGATCGGCTTAACAAGAATGGTGTCATCTGAAGCGCATTTAAACGAGGAGAACGTAGATGAGAAAGTTGCCGGGACGAACCAAATGCATAAGACAGCTGCATGCTCAATCAGCTGTATGACACAGACTTCGAATAACTTTTCAGAACAGGCTGACCCAGATGAACCGATCCGGCCCCCATCGGGGGTACATCGAGAAGTTATTGTAGCCGGAGACAGCAATGTGGCCCTTTTTGCGCGAGCTCTCTCTGAGGAAGTCGGCGACCCCCACAGTTTGGAGATCATATTGAACAGAGGAGCCACTTCAGAACAGATTCACGAACTGATTGACACATACAAAGAGCGAGCAAGGCAAGTACCCCGTATGTACATCCTACATGTCGGAGTGAATAATATTCTCCAGGGTGATCAACCAGATACCATAATAGAATGCTTGCGACAGAGGTGGGCAAAGCGAAAAGCTGCACTAGCCATCTGCTCAGTGCCAGAAATCCGAGGCAGAGGAAAGGAGCTTCAAGCTAGGGCAATGATGCTTAATGCCAAACTAAAACATCTCTGCCAGAATATCAAAGCACGATTTATAGACTTTACCCGGGACTTCGAAGACACGAACGCAGTCGAGAAGAATGGTCTTCACTATCGCCCATTGGGAGTTCAGATGGTGACAAACCGGATGAGTGCTATTGCATGCCGTTTTTTAGGGTTCCGTTCACGAGGGAACCAACGATCAGGACGGCCTATATACAACAGGAAAAACAAGAACCAAGCACCACTACGTCGTGTGCCAGATGTGCAACACGACTACCCAGCAGTGGATTCTTGTGCACCCAATGTCCATTGTCACACTACGAGACGACAGATGATGCCCGGAAGCTCCGGACACAAGCAAACACCATCAGTGACTGGCCCAGAGTTTTATCCGGAGTACCTCAAGGAATACCCACCACTAGTGAGAGCAGAGATGAGGACTCCCCCTGTCTGCCCAACATGGCATGGACACCTTCAAAGAGAAGTTCACACGATAGCACCGATGAAAGGCACCGATCACAGGTACAGAACGGATGCGGTGTGGGAAAACTCAGACAGACCCCGAACCCCAGGTGCCGCCCCTTTCCTACACACGAGAGCATCCAATCAGCTAGAAAGGCCTCCCTCTCTGCCGAACCTCCGACCAAATCCGTGGGTTGCCGGAGACTTCCCTCGACCCTCTCCCGCCCTCTCAGCAGTGGAGTTGACACACTTTGTACACCAAGTAGTGCGACACCAGATCGAAGCGATGCAGAATCAGAAGTAACAAAGATGTGGAGAGTGAGTGCGAAAGACGCAGGAGATCGCACTTCTATTCTTAATCGGAGAGCAAATAAGAGCAAGCGAAAACAGGAAAGTGTACTAGTAGGTTTTTTGAATATGAATGGTGCGAGACGTGAACGGAAGTGGCATGAGTTGTACAGTTCTCTCCACACAAGGTCTGTGTCTCTATTGGGCGTAGCGGAAACACACTTGCGTGACATGGAAGAACCGCCGATTGATCCAGAATGGTGTTGGACTGGATGCAATAGATTTGAAGGGGAGAGGCGAGGTGGAGGTGTTGGACTTCTTTGGGCAAGTAATGGGCCAACATGGCTTCGGAGATCTGAGGACTGCAGGGAACACATATGGGTTCACGGAAAAATAGGTAATGTTCCGACAGCGGTCTGCATTATTTATTTTTCGGTGGGAAACGCCCGCAAAGAAGAGAACATTGCCATCTTCGAATGTGTTCTTCGAGATATCCACAACATGGACCACGGTCTCTCTGTGCTTATAATGGGAGATTTTAACGGCCACCTGGTTGAATTGGACGGACGAGAAGATAACAACGGCAGAATGATGAGACAGCTGGCGGAGGACCTTGACTTGGAGATCTTGAATTTAAGAGATGCCTGTAAGGGACAGCATACGTGGGCTGTGCGAGACCGACGGACTTGCATAGACTATGCGCTCGCGTCGAATAGACTTGGGATTCATCTTCAGAAGATAGTTGTTGATGAAGAGGGCACGTGGAGCATCAGCAGTGACCACAACAGCATTTTTCTACACTTTGGCACTGTTAAAAGAACTCGAGATAGCAACCAGCGCAAAACCATAACCCGGCTACACGAGGAAGACATAGATGCTGTCGTTCAGAAATTTGACGAAAGTACTCGGCGTGTGCAAGCACTCAGCTATGATGATTATGCAAAAGAGCTTAGAATAATCATTGCTGAATACTCCACAGTGAAGAGTGCCAAAGGAAAGCGAACACTCGTGTCGTGGTGGGATTTAGAAATCAAGAAATCGATTCGTATGCGACAAGACGCTAACCGGCGGCACAGACATGCGTTAAAGACTCTTGGAAAGGATCCTGTGACTCTACAGCTATGGGAAGAGTATCGTATGTGCAAAGCAGAGACGCAAGATATGGTAGAAGCGAAAAAACAAGCACATGATTGTAAGGTGATGGCGGACATAAGAAACGGCGGAAAGAAAGCAGTAGAAAAGTTCTGGAGATATATAGCTTCGCTAGACGGCAAGGACAAAGCTCCAGAACTGCTGGATTACGACAGTGGATGTCCAGTTCAGCATATTGGGGAACTGCTTGAGAAACAACTTGTAATCCTTTTTGGTGCTACGGATGTCGCAAGCTCGCCAGAAGAACCAATACGAGTCTGCTCGCCGAAAGCCTCACGCTATCGACATCTACTGATGATGGTACAACCCTAGTGGGACGG